GAACGAGCTTTCAGCGCATCCGGAAGGGTTTTAGACGATAGAAGAACAAGTCTAAAACCCGAAACACTAGAAATGTGCGTGTGTTTCAAAGATTGGTTGGATGCGGAAAATCGCTCACAAGACCGTTCTTACGACCACAACGACAACGAAGAAGGAACCTCCGCTTCCGGTTCGGGTTCGGCTAGTTCCCAATCTATGCAACTAGCCGATGACCTTGAAGGCGAAGGCGAAGACGAAGACGAAGACGAAGACGAGCAAGAAGAAGGAGAAGAAGAATAGACAATTATTGTATATTGTACGATTTTAAAAATATCAATTTTATCATTTTCCAATTTTTGTTTAATACCATCATTGTATGATTTTTATCATTGTTATCATTGTACAATTTTCTCAACTCAAGTAATAATAATATAAAGTACGCATTATTCACATCCAAAGTCCAATTTGCCTTTTTTCCCCGTTTTGTTACAATTTGTAAATTCATATTAAAAAAAAATAAAATTATACCAATTACTAATAAATCATAAACATTAAATTTTAAAATAATAGTATAAAGTAAATATATAAATATAAATATTGAATATACAAATTATAAAACATAAATATTCAACTTATAATTATAAAATTCATAACTTAATAACTTATAACTTATAAGTTATAAACTTATAAGTTACCTTATAAAACTTATAATTATAATTTTATAACTTATATACATTATAAACTTATTAATTAATAATGTTGTCATTAAAAAAAAAAAAAAAAAAATGAAAACTGCACCAGCCCGCGCAGGCCAGCCCGCAGCCCGGCACGTGGCCGGCACGGCACGAGCCCGCCAGGCACGAGGGCCGTGCCGTGCCGTGGGCTGGCCTGTGAAAATGGCCGGCACGGCACGGCACGAAATCCTGGGCCCGCCGGCACGACCGGCACGGCACGAACCAGCCCGCGGCCCGCCAGGCACGGCCCGCGGCGGCCCGGCACGGCACGGTGCCCAGGATTAGCTGACATGAACATTGCTTTTGAAATTCTTGTGCTTACCAGAGTTATGTTTGCCTTTTTTTTATTTTGCCAAGCAGTACCTCTGACCTTTTCTTGTTAGATTAAACCACTTATCATCTATATGAACAAAGTCATATATAGGGAAGTATTTGTTCTTTGTCCAAGTTGTCATTAGCTAATAATCCACTTCAGTCTTGCAATTTTGTTTGCTTATGTCATTTTTGGCTTCAATGCATTAGTGTGTGTCTTTAACTCTCCCCTTCAAATCATTCTTTGTACTGTGCTTCTTGATATGTTAAGCATTTGTGCAACATCTGTGATGCATGTCCTCTCTCCAATACCTAGCTTACTGGTTTCTTCTTCTGGAATTTGAACCTTTTTCCTCCCTACAAGATGGTACTTTATGCTGGGATTGTATTTGTTGGTTTGTAGTTTTTGCTTTTTTGAATCATACCACAATTTGCTAATAAGGCCTTCTTGATATATTGAACATCTCCATTGCTTTATTGATTGTTACTCTTTTTAAATTGTCCCCTTCAGAATTTTTCATGTTCTGAGCATATTCTGACGCTTATGATGTTTTGGTGAGCTGCAATTATTTGGATGAGCAATCCGTGTGTACATGAAAGATTAAATGTGATTGGTCCTTTATGTTTTATTCATTAAATATGATTGATCTCTTTTATTCCCTTTAGATTGCTGACATGGACATATAATTTATACACCCTCTTTTTTCGTCTTTTACTTCTTTTGTCCTATCTCATTTTTTTTTGTTGAAACCTTGTCCTATCTCATTTTATGGCACCTTATGTACTCTTTTATACTCCATGAGTATTAAGGAATCTTGAGAAACCTTAATTCCCGCAAAAAAACTCAAATAGACTTGTAATTTAAGAACGAAAAGTGTAGTACATAATTGGTAAGTTACAGAGTAAAATAAAATGAAGCAAATAATCTAAACGACTGAACATAGAGGCAGGGCGCCGAGCTAGAGAGTAAATCTAAACGACTGAACATCAGCATCCATCCATCATTCCATCAATGTTCTCTCAACCTCAGCTGCTTCCTTCTCTTTCCCTCCACAACTCAACTCATTCCAAAGGGTCTGCCTTTCATCAAATGCTTTTCTTTCCAAACTAACTTCTAATTCTAATTTTTATTTATTCTTCTGCTTTCATGGTGTTTTCTTGTTGGTTATTTCTTGTTTCTGTTAGAATATTATGTATATTTTTCTGGAATTAGAGTTATTTCCTTGACATAATTAGTTTATTGTATCAAATCATTCCCTGATTACAGGAGTGATTAAGGGAGGCTAATATGGCAAGTATTGGTGTATATATGTTCCTGTAAACAGTTGATAAAAGTAATATACAAAAAAACCCCAAAAAACTCTGTTTTATACTTTAACTTGGTATCAGAGCCAGGTTGGATTTTCCGGCGACCGGAAGAACTTCGGCTTCATCATCTACCATAAAAACCGAAAAATCAATCCATTGTCCAAAAACTAGTTAGAGTACCCACAGCCATTAACTATTTGGGTGGTTATTAAGAGAGAGAAAATGAAAATATTAATAAAATATTGAGGAGAGAGAAATTATTGGGGTATCAATTGAATAACCAGGTTATTCAAATAACCGGTTATGTATATGGTCATGCAATTTTTTTTTTGCTTTTTGGTTGACATGGATGGCTAAGATTTTGACACGTAATACAAATATCAATGGTTGAGATTTGCTCTGAATTTATAACCGTTGTAATTTTTGTAACGGCCATAATTTTTAAAATACAATTCTGAAAAAAAAAATACACCAACGACTCTATTTTATTTTTCTCTATAAAATGAGCCCAATATTGAAGTATTTTTGAAACAACTTTTTTTTAAGTGAAAATTACTCTTCTTATTGGAAAATTGTGTTAAGATAAACATTCCAAAATCTAACAGAAAAAAAAAATCCACAAAATCTCATAACTCATCACAGCCCCAAAATAATCCAAATCCTCAACCTTACTATTCTAATCTTCCAATTGATCTCAACTCAGATTTAGATACAAATTTTCAAAATTTTCCGAATTACGGTTCACAAAATCTCAATTTCTCAAATCCAAGTACTTTCACTCCGTTTCCTTTTCAACCACCACAAAATCCTAATTATTCAAATTCTCCAAATGTTATCCCATCTTTTGAAAATATTCAAATCTCTCAAATTGATTCAACATTTCCCATGTCTCAACATTTTTCTATGTCACAAGGTGATGGTGCATTTCCGAGTTTCGATTGTTCATACACATCGAATGCATCAGATGACGAAAATGAACCAGAAGTTAAAGAAGGCGAAGGTAATGAAAGAGGTAATGAAGGAGGCAATCAAGATGGAAGGAAAATTATTTGGTCAAAAGCTGAAGAAGTGGTTCTTGTGAAGGCTTGGCTTGAGGTTAGTCAAAATAAAAAAACTAACACTAACCAAAAGGGGGATGTTTTTTGGAGGAAAATTGAAGAAATGTATAATAATGTTAGACTATACAAACAAAGGTGTTTCGAAGAAGGTACTGATCGGGTAACACGAGAAGATTTGTTGAAAATGAGGGGTACGGAGCAACTTAGAAACCGTTGGAGAAGGATTAATGCTTCATGTTCTAAATTTTGTGGCTCACATGCTCATGCTGAATCAAAAAAGGGAAGTGGTATGAATGATGAAGATGTTATGAAATTAGCATATAGTATATATGCTAACGACAAAACAAAGTCTTCATTATGCTCTAAAACCTTTCAAGACAAGCATGTTTGGGACATCTTAAAACAACATGAAGCATGGAAACCAAGTGAAGATGTTGTTAAAAAATGCAAGGAAAAGACATCCACTCAAGGAAGTGACTCAAAGAGATCTCGTATCAATGAAGCTGGAAACTACTCCTCTTCATCAAACCCAGAAACACCAACCAGTGGTGATATTGGGTATTCAGGCTTTCCTTCTAGCAACGAATCTAGTAAAAATAAAGGAAAGAGCAAGGTGCCAAACATGCCAAGTGGAGCATGGCAACAATGGTTGGACACTGCCCAGAACATGAACCTTATAAGGCAATCAGAAAATGAAGTTGAACTTACAAGGTTGCAACTAGAAAAGGAGAAAGAAGCAAGGAAGCAAAGAAAAATTAATATGGAGTTATTTAAACACCTCGATTCAAAGCCAAACTTATCTTCGGAAGATCAAGAATTAAGGAGCACTTTGTTGAAGAAGTTGTTCCCCTCAGACTAATGTATTAGTGTATGGTTGATTATTGTCGTAATGTTGGTTGATTTCAAATAATTCCTTTTTTATTGTTCTTTTTTATGTACTTAAGGTCTGATTTGTAGTTTGAATATTTTTAATAAGTTGTTGTTTGAGGATGTGAATGAATTTTATATTATAATGTCATTATTAATAAAAAAATTAAGTTAAATTACATGTCTCTTCTTATAATCGTATTATAAGCTTAATAATATTATTCAATACATTAAAGTTTGTATATAATAACATATAATTATTATTGATCTGACTAAACCTATTGATTCACTTTGATATATCACTGCAAAAGATGTACATTGATTTACATTACACTGTAAAGTATTTGATGTACCCAACACTGAAAAGCAAATATTAAATACTAGACATTGATGTACTTAACACTGAAAAGGTAATAGTGAATTTTGTTCACTGATGTACTTAACACTGAAAAGGAAATAGTAGCATGCATCACTTGCTTTGACGTACATAACAATGTTAAGGTGATAGTGACAATGCAAAGGCATGCATCTCCATTACTTTTAAAAATTATTAACTACTTTATGAATCATTGCATGCATGCAAGACTTCAAATTTACCATATAAGACAAAAAAATTACTACATATCATACACACTTGTTCTATAAGATGGATACATTAGAGTGGGATTCCCTTGAACAACCATTCATTTCCCCCTATTATACTTCTACCTTCCATTCTCATATCAAATTTGGTTTTAAAAACATGTCATCTGACGATAGCTCCAACTCTTCTAATTCCTCTTCCAATTCAGAAAATAGCCAAACCCAACGATATGAAAGACGAAGGCAAGCCAATCGCCAGTTCGATCGAATGATGGATGAAGTTTTTATGTCCAATCCAGTTGAAGTATATCAAATGTTTAATCAAGTGCCAAGGCCACCAAGGGTTCCCGTTCCAAGGGATCGTGAGGATGGACACAGTCGTTTATGGAATGACTACTTTACCGACCATCCTGTGTTCCCTCCACAATTATTCCGTCGGAGATTTCGCATGAACAAACATATATTTCTCCGAATTAAGCAAACTTTAGAAGAACGTCATCCCTTCTTCCAGCAAAGACAAGATGCTACAGGAAGATTTGGTGCCTCTGCATTACAAAAATGCACCGCGGCTATAAGACTAATAGCTTATGGCACCTCCGCTGATTCTGTGGATGACTACATTCGGATTAGTGCATCTCTTGCAAGAGATTCACTTCAGCATTTTGTGGAAGGAATAGTCTCTTACTTTAGTGATGAATACCTTCGAAAGCCCAATGAAGAAGATCTAGTAAGACTATTAAGGATTGGTGAACGTCGTGGATTTCCTGGCATGTTAGGTTCTATTGATTGTATGCATTGGAGGTGGAAAAACTGTCCACTTCGATTAAAAGGTATGTTTTCTGGAAGACCAGGTAAACCCACATTAATCTTGGAAGCTGTGGCATCATATGATCTTTGGATCTGGCATGCCTTTTTTGGGACACCAGGTAGTCGTAATGATATTAATGTTCTTGATAGATCCCCATTGTTTAATGATGTTTTTGAAGGTTGTGCACCCTCTATTAACTATGTTGTGAATGGTCGCACATACAATATGGGATATTATCTCACTGATGGTATATATCCTAAATGGGCGGCATTCATTCCTACAATATCACTACCACAAAATGAAAAAGAAGGTCTATTTGCCAAAGTACAAGAAGCTAAACGAAAGGACGTTGAGTGTGCTTTTGGAGTATTACAAGCTCGTTTTGCAATAATACGGAATCCAGCGCTAGCTCGTGACGCATCAATGTTAGGAAAAATAATGATAGCGTGTAAATGCACAATATGATTGTTGAGGATGAAAAAGATACATATAAAACGTATTACGATCCAAATGAATATGATCAAGCTACAAATGCGTCTTCAAGTAATGAAAATAATGAAGAGCCTTTTCAGTTCCAAAATAGCAACAACCGAATTGCAAGTTTGGAAACTTACATGTCTAATAGAGCACGTGTTCGTGATGAAGCTATGCATAAAGCATTGAAGAAAGACTTAGTTGAACATATGTGGCTCAAATTCGGTGTTCAAAGTAGGGACAATAATATGCATTAATAGATGTTTAATCGCAATATTATATCATTGTGTTTGTACTTGTTCGCGGTTCGTTATTATCTTTCAAAGACTTTTATCATTTGATAGAATATATATGTATGATTTTTATTATTGTGGAATGTAGTAGGGTTACAATTATTGTTTGTGTCTTAATTAACGACTAATTACGTACTAATTAATATTAAAATTGCATTATTTTTAAATTTTTGAGATTTTATCTAATTAATGTATGCTAATAAATAATTATTAATTTTGAATGATTATTACCAAATGCATTATTTAATAATAATAGAATTTAAGTAATAAATTGTGTGGTGGGGTTGGGTAAAAGTAGGAGAGAGAAAATATATAAACAAAATATTATGGTTAACTATTGGCATACATTGGTTATTAAATGGTTATAAGAGTGGTTATAAGTGAGGTGGAAGATGGATAAAATAATAAAATAATCAATAACCAAGATGGGGTTGGGCAACCATTGTGTATGCTCTTACAATGGAGGATATATTGCAACTGTTTTCACAGTTAAACACCAATAAACCCACCATCAAAACCACAAAACTACCAATAGACGAAACGATGTATAATCGTTTAACACATCACAGCCATCTCTACCAATTTTTAGCGGGGCTCAATGAGTCCCTGGACAAAGATTGAAGAGATCTGTTAAAATCAAACCCCCTACCCACTGTAAAAGAAGCGTATGCGACAGTCCGACGAGAAGATGATCGGGTCAACCTTAAGTGTACCCACTGCGGTGGTACACGACACACAAAGGAGGGTTGTTTCAAAATAATAGGCTACCCGGAGTGGTGGTCGGAAAGGAAGAAGAAAGAAGGGGAAAAACCAAGAAAAAATGGTACTGCATCTTGTAGCACCGGCGAAAACAAAGAGGAAAGAGAAGAAGACTAAACCAGGGAGGAAGCTTCAGCCATGGCCGCCACACTTGATACAGGTTTGAGTAAAGAAATGGAAAAGGAAGATAATCTCATAAACCTAGCCCCTTATTTATATTCCACCGAAAGTGGATCAAGGCCACTTTACCAAACTCCTCCTTAAGTCGTTATTCTTATGGGAATGGACTAAAATCCAACTCCCCAAATTCTTCTTTAAATTGTAATCTAAATATCAAAGACATGAATCAGTCCATTGGGCTTATTTGCAATTCGGATAAAAACACAAAGTGGATTTTGGATTGTGGGGCAACTGATACTATGACATTCGATATTTCCTGTTTGGAGAAATTGAATAAACCCACAAAAAATCATGTCCAAACCGCTAATGGGGAAAAAATCAAAGTAGAAGGATCGGGATCGATCAAGTTATCAAACAATGTCAAATTACACAACTGTCTCTTTCTTCCTCACTTAACCCATAAACTCCTTTCAGTTAGCCAATTAACAAAAGAATTACAATGTATTGTTCTAATAAATTCCACTGGGTGTATTGTGCAGGATTCTCGGACAGGAAAAATCATTGGGCGTGGTACTGAGGAGAATGGACTGTATTATGTTGATTGGATGTCTCAAATTGGTTGTGCAGCGCTTGTTCACGGATCGGTTGAACACCAACTCTGGACTTGGCACCGCCGACTAGGTCATCCATCTCTAGGGTATTTAAAGAAACTCTTCCCTTCTCTTGCTAGTGCAAAGTTAGATTTTCACTGTGAGGCTTGTATGTTAGCTAAGAGTTATAAACATTATTATCCTAGTAGTACTACTCGAAGTGAAAAACCGTTTGTTTTAATTCACTCTGATGTTTGGGGACCTGCCCCGGAATTTGATAATCATGGTTTTCATTATTATGTTACCTTTATTGATGACCGTACTAGGATGAGTTGGATATATTTCCTGAAAAATAAATCCGATGTTTATGATACTTTTGTCTCTTTTTACAAAATGGCCCAAACACAATTCCAAACACAAATTCGAATCCTAAGGTCTGATAATGGCGGGGAATATATAAACCTTGATCTAGAAACATTCATAAACTCAAATGGCCTTATTCACCAAACCACCTGTCCCGATACACCGCAACAAAATGGTGTGGCCGAAAGAAAAAATCGAACACTTCTAGAAATGACTAGAGCTATGATGATTGAATCCCAAGTACCCCCTCATTTTTGGCCGGAAGCCATAGCTACTGCTAATTACCTTACCAACTGTCTTCCTACAAAAAGCCTTAACCTTGCTACTCCCATAGATACCCTTAAAACTCATACTAGTATTCCCTCCATTCACTCTTTAGCTCCACGAGTCTTTGGTTGTGTCGTTTATGTCCATCTTCCTAAACGTAGCCGAAATAAGTTAGCCCCTCGAGCTGTTAAGTGTGTCTTTGTAGGATATGGGGTTTGTCAAAAGGGGTATCGTTGCTTTGACCCAGTCACAAACCGAATGTACACAACCATGGACTGTGATTTTGTTGAAAATGAGTACTTTTATCACCACCTTAGATCTCAGGGGGAGAGTTCACGTGAGGATCTAAGTTGGCTAACCTATCCTGAAGTTGACACTGATCCAAAAGAACAAGTAGACACAACTGCCGAGACGACTAACAACATAATACAATTTGATCAAATCAGTGCTATTACCAATGATCACACAACTCTGTCCGAGGATCCACCAGGTAGTGAGGTTTGTACTCCAGACTCATTTCATAACACTGAGTCCACTAACCTTTCTTCTGAGAATGAATTTGTAGAACATGATACTCTGTCTGAGACTCCTAAGAATTTTGAAGGAGAAAATGTGGATGTAAATGCTGAAACTGAACAAGAGGGTGTCCCTGGTAAATATGTGTTGCCACCTAGAAGCACAAGAGGTGTTCACCCAAGACGGTATGATCCAGATTTTGAGGCAAAGAGGTCCAAATACCCAGTCAGTAAACCCGGAGAAGGAAACTTATCCCAAGGGGCCAAGGCTTATACTGCAGCTATATACTTTGAAAATATCCCTTCGAATACTGATGAAGCTCTCAGAAGCAAACACTGGAAGACAGCCATGGAAGATGAAATCATTGCACTTGTCCGAAACAACACGTGGGAGAAGTGCATTATACCCAAAGGAAAGAAACCAGTAGGATGCAAATGGGTGTTCATCATCAAATACAAAGCTGATGGGAGTATTGAACGATATAAAGCCAGACTTGTTGCTAAAGGGTACACTCAGACATATGGGATAGACTACGATGAGACCTTCTCCCCTGTAGCAAACTTCAATACAATCAGAGTGTTGTTCTCAGTAGCAGCAAACAAAGATTGACCCCTACACAAGTTCGACGTGAAAAATGCATTCTTACATGATGATCTCTCTGAGGAGGTGTATATGGAAGCTCCTCCAGGCTTCTCTCAGGATTATGGTGCAGGAGAAGGGTGTAAGTTAAAAAAGGCTCTATATGGTCTGAAACAGTCACCAAGAGCATGGTTTGGGAGATTTACTAGAGCAATGAAGAAGTTTGGGTATAAACAGAGCAATGCAGACCACACCTTATTCCTTAAAAGGAGGGAGCTGACCACTTGCCTCATCATATATGTGGATGACATGATCATTACAGGAGACGACAAGGAAGAAATAGATCAGTTGAAGAAGAAACTGTTCCAAGAATTCGAGTTGAAGGATCTTGGAAATCTTAAGTATTTCCTGGGAATAGAAGTACTCAGATCACAGAAGGGTATTTTTATTTCGCAAAGGAAATATATTCTTGATTTTTTGACTGAAACAGGGATGATAGATTGCAGACCTGCCGACACTCCTATGGTAATGAATCATGGATTGCAAATAATTGAAGGAGCAAAGATGGTAGATCAAACCCAATATCAGAGACTTGTTGGAAAACTGATTTACCTATCTCACACCAGATCGGATCTAGCGTACGCGGCAAGAGTGGTTAGTAGATTCATGCACAAACCACAAAAACACCATCTTGAAGCAGTTTTCAGGATCATAAGGTATCTGAAAAAAAAACTCCTGGTAAGGGAGTCATGTTTGGCAAGCATAACCATTTGGACCTTCATGCTTTCACAGACGCAGATTGGGGTGGAGACCGAGATAGCAGAAAGTCCACATCTGGATATTTTACCCTAGTAGGAGGAAATCTTGTGACTTGGACGAGTAAGAGACAAAAGGTGGTTGCTACATCCAGTGCGGAAGCAGAATTTAGAGGCATAGCTAAAGGGGTATCCCAAGTCCTTTGGCTCCGGAAGTTATTATCTGAATTTGGGTTTGCACCCAAGAAAAGCTGCAAGTTGTATTGTGATAATATGGCAACAATTCGGATTTCAGAAAATCCAGTCCAACATGATCGTACGAAGCATGTGGAGATAGACAGACACTTTATCAAAGATCATCTAGAAGCAAAAGTGATAAGTCTTCCGTTTGTCACATCAGAGGATCAGTTGGCGGATATTCTGACTAAAGTAGTTACCACACAAGCATTCGAAGATGCATTATTCAAGTTGGGTGTTGAAGATCCTACGACCCAACTTGAGGGGGAGTGTTAGAATATTATGTATATTTTTCTGTAATTAGAGTTATTTACTTGACATAATTAGTTTATTGTATAAAATCATTCCCTGATTACAGGAGTGATTAGGGGAGGCTAATATGGCAAGTATTGGTGTATATATGTTCCTGTAAACAGTTGACGAAAGTAATATACAGAAAAACCCCAAAAAACTCTGTTTTATACTTTAACTGTTTCAGTCCACCCTTTGGAATCACATTTGATATTGATGGAGTTATTCTTCATGGTGGCACGCCTATTGGAGGCTCTCCAAAGGTTGTACCAAAATGGTTTGTAGTATTTATTTGTTTTTACTCCCTCGACTATTGATAGTGTAATTTGACTAATAATGCAACTGGTAAAATTGGGACGAAGGGAGTACTTAGTATTAAATTTACGAGTAATAAATTTTACTGCTCAATTTTTCAGGTTCTATGAAGGTCCCTTTTCTGTTCTTGACCAATGGTATAATATTTACTGCTTTCTGTTTGGTTTTATTTGTTGATTGACGATTTCATTGTATATGATTTGTTCCCTGCATTATTTATTTTGATATGGTTTTGGGATTTGTGTTTGAATTTGGAAATTGTTGCTCTTTCTGCTGATTAGATTACTTGTTCTAGGAACTATGTATTTCCCTTTACAAGATTAATTGTCTTAACCCGTTCATTTATCTTAGGTTGATACAATAGTAGTCTGTTGAATAACATTAGTCCTTGAAGATTTTTGTTGGGTGCTCAAGAAGCTACAAAGGGTAAAATGTAATGATGTACATGGGATTCGATCCTAGGATTTGGGTACTACCCGTAGACTTCCAACTAACTAAGTTTGTTCACTTCTGAATTATTAGTCTTTGAATATGATTGTTGACTACAAAATCTTTTCATTATAATTATAGGGAAAATGGAATAGTGTATGTTCGCAATAGTTTGGAAATACTTCTTTTATCTAGATCGTATAGTCATTTGTTCTTTTTCTGAAATGTCCAAGAGAATGACTACAATTTGTGTTAATGGTGTGTGATTGGTTTTGTTGAAATGACCTCTCTTACATCGAGTAATGGAGAGAAGTTGGGAATACACCAATTATTTAATGCCAAGCAACCTAATTTGTATAAAACTCAACACGCTTGTGCCACATTGGTATAAAAGTTGCCGACTATGCAAATGAGTACAAAACTTAGCTTTGTTTATTAAATTTGTATAAAACTTAGCTTAGTTTGACAAATAAGTATAAAGCTCAGCTTTGTTTGACATTTGACCCTATTTTTTATCTGCAAAGATATTTAAGTTGTGAATTTTTAAAATTCATCCTTTAACTAATTAAGGGAAAATTCTCTCTATACCTCACTATCCTTTCTTCTTCCTCTTTTGTAAATCATAATTCCTCTCAATTTTTTCTTTTTTCTTTAATCTTAATTTAGATGTGTTGTGAAGGACCTGAAGGTATTGTCACGTATTTTGTCCCAATTATATTTTGCTTCTTTTGTGTCTCTCGCTCTTCTCAATTCTAGCCCATTTTTCTTATTGGCTTAATATACAAATTACTATTCCCTTTAGTATCTAAGTTTCAATCGTGTAAATCATTTTAACAATATATTATGTCCTTCATTTGCATCATCCTATCAATGTACTGTAGTAGACTTGTAGTTTCATTTGTTAGAAGCAGAGCTATGCCATTCAATTTTTATTGTTGAATTGGTGAGAATAGAGGGAAATAAAGTAAACAATGTACTAAGTGAGGCAACAAAAGTTGGAGAAAAATGAAATAAAACCTTACATGACCTATCTGATGAAAAATAAGTGTTGTACGTCACACAAATTTAAGATTTTTACTCCTTTGTCACACGAGCTAAGTTTTGTACTCATTCGTCACACAAAGCTAAGTTTTGTACTCCTCTGTCACATTTGACAACTTTTATAACAATGTGGTAAAGTGATGTTTAGTTTTATATCAACCGAGTTCATTTGCCTATTACTTGAGGCATATTGGTCAAATTGTGTTAAATCTTTTAATATAAGAAATTGGGACAGATAATGTGCGGATATTCTCATAAGGAGCTTTTATGTTATGGAAATTGTAATGCTAATAGAATTGTCTAAGCGAATGCAACACTTGAAGTAAATTGTTAATTTTTATGAGTAGGAGGTGGTGTGCCAGAATCGCAACGAGCATTAGAGTTGAGTGAACTTTTAGGTGTGAATATTATGCCTTCTCAGGTAGTATACTTCTATTTTATCAATCATGTTATGTACAGACTATAAGACTTTACTACAATTTTTTCCTCCATCCTTCTGTGACAGCTATCTTGGTGATGTGACCTTTGCATAATTTCCTTTTGTTTTTACTACCGCAGATTGTACAAGGACACTCATAATTCAGGAATCTATTGGGAAGGTAAAGCTTCATTTCATTTTATATTTTTAGTTGTCTTTCTTTTCTAGCATTGGCATTTAAATTTATTGTTATATGCTGGACTTCTTTTTCATCGTTGGATGATTTGTTTTATATATACAGTAGATGCTTGAATAGTTGATTTCAGCTGATGTGTCTTGTATCACTATGTCAACCAGTACAAGTGAAATTAACAAAAAAAAAAAAAAAAAAAAAAAAAAGATTATGCATGGAAAATGTTAACGTGTGGTCATTGCTCCTCCTATTGTATTAATTGTTGAACAGAGAAAATAATTGTCATTGTATTTATGAAATGGACTGTATCCTATAAGCTGATTAATCGCCATGATAAACAAACTTTGCTACATATGGAAATCATTGTGTCCGAATAAGCAAAACAAAGAGAAAGTATTGTGGAGGATTTTTTTTTTCATCCTGTTGGGGAAATTTAAAATGAGTATTAAGTAGATGAGAGATGATCCAAGGGATTAATTAACTGCGGAGAAAGAACACATGGTCCAAAGGATTTTGTTTCTTTTTCATTAACTGTGAAGAAAATTACAACAGGAAAAGAAACAGAGAAACAGATGTTGCATTTTAAGAAGGATATTTTAATTAGATATTATCTTTCAGCTTTTTAGATCACATTTTTTTTAAATTTTTTTTTTGAAAATGATGCTCATACTTATTTTTTGGTCTTCTTTATTACGAGGAGTGCAGTAGCTATTTTGTTGTCTTTCACTTCCCGCTTTGTTTTTTTGTGTCTTGTATATGGTTTGTGAGAACTTAAAACTAATGTACACGTCTTAAGGGGGAAAATGATATATGGTTATCGATCTTTGGTCATCTCAGTGTTTTATTGCTCTCGCTGTTTTCCTATAAACTTTTTCCTCTATGCAATCTAAATTCAGGATAATATCATGTAAAAGAATAAAATATGAGTGGTTTTCACAAGAACCTGAATCTATATATGTATTTACAATTTACTTTAATTCCTCTTCATTCATAACTTGGTTCTTCTAAAAAATTCTGTATATGCACATAAAGCTTGTGTTGAAGAATAGGGTTCTCAAGTATCATCATATGTAAGTGTCTCACATTGGTTCAGACTCATATTTTACATGGTATCAGAGCGGTTAGATCTTGGGAGTGTTTACAAAAAATTCTCCCCAACCGATGGGTTAGAATATTAAACCCACCGGTGGGATAGCAGAATTATAGATTTTTTATTAAAAAAAATACTTATCATGCGTGACATTTGATTTTATTGAGACTTGCTTGTGGTTTGTGATGCTTCCATTTAAATCTTGGGAGGAATTTTTTTGTGGGTTTCTGTAGTTTGACGAGGGTGATGAATTAGGGTCTAAGCTTTGACCTGATTTGATATTTTTTTTTAAAAAAAAGAAAAAAAAAATCGGCTCTCTTATGTGAGACAAGATATATTGATTCTCCTTGTGCCGTGAGACAGGGTTTATTTGTTGGTTCTCCTTGTGCCGTGAGACAGGGTTTGTGATTTGATTTGAGCATGATTTTGGTCCTTTTGATATGAGTTTGGTTTTGCTCTATATTAAAACCACTAAGAGATTTGAGTTTGGTTTGCTCTGAACAACCAATATTTGATTGGAAAAACCAATGAGTGTGGTTTGTTCTGAAAAACCAATATTTGATTGGAGCTCGGTTTTATCAGGAGAAACCAAAATGGTTATATTTGCAGGTTTGAAAATAATGACGTTCCTGCTTGATTGATGACCGATGAGTTCGGAAAAAATGAACTGTCTCATCGTTGAAAAAGAAGAAAAAAATTTGAAGGCGACATCACCAGAGTAGTGCATCTCGACTTCAACCAAAAGAAGAATTTCCAATCGCAACGTTCGTGTTACTGTCGTTACTACGTTCGTGTTACTGCTGTTACGATTGTGGGAGGGTGTTAGAGATATGAGATATCGAAAAATATATGTGTGATATATTTTTCGTAGATATCATTTAGAGAATAATATATTTAGGTTTATTTATGCTAAAGATATTGGTTAGAGAATATATCTTTAGGTTTATGGTTATGTTAGTATATCTTTTAGGAAGATTGTTTTCTATCTTATGAGCGTATGTTTTTTATAAATACTTTACCTATTGATAAATAATAAACAAGTCATTTTACTTATCTCTTTTACCCTAATTTATCATGGTCTAAAAGCTAGGCCCACGATATGGGACCCTAAATGGCTAAAGTTCACTGGGGCAAGAGTAGGTCCATGTGAGAGAGAGTGAAAAAGCACTCTAACCCGAAAAATCACATAAACAAAGATTAAAAAGGGATCTTACATGTGAGGGGGAGTGTTGAAAAATAGGTCTTCCAAGTATCACCACATGTAAGTGTCTTACATTGGTTGAAGTATTGAAAAATAGGTCTCCCATATTTTACAGCTTGCCTCGCATTCAAATTAATCTTTGATTTAGATATTGCTGTGTATCATCTCCTGATCTTCGGATTTTAAGTTGAGTCTTTTTCAAGTCTTGCCATCAATAATTTTGAATCCATGTTACTTCGTATATTCTCTTTACTCTGATTTCATGCCTGAATTGGATTATCTTGTGTTTAGGTTCTTTGTGATATTTTGAGAACTGGAGACCCTTCTGGACAGGAGAATGGAGGTCAACCAGCTCTATATTTTGCGGCTGATGATCTTGAATATCAGGTTTTTTTTTTTTTTCATTATTATTATTTTTTTCCCCTGAACTCTTTCTCATTTTTATGTTTGGAGAATATTAAATGTTTGTCCTAAAATTTCTTAGAACAAAGTAAGACTAGTTTTTTTTATTTTAATTTTTAAAAAATTGTAAGATAAAGATATACTAGCCTATGGAGATTTCAGCTGTGGTTGACCTCAAAATAAAATGAATATAGTCCTGCATAAAACAAAAGTGAGTTTTCCGGTTTTCAAATAGTTTTAGATTGGCTATGTTGGTTGCCTTGGTATCAATTACCATTTACAACTTTTGTTCATTGATAATTATTGCCTATGATCATTACTCCCTCCGCTTATGATAAGTTTAACATTGGACTATAGGGCATTTGATTTTACTTAACTGAGAATTACTCTGTACTGATTATTACTGATTAAATGAGAATTACTAAGGATTGCACTGGAAAGTATATTCAACAGGTAATTTCTAAGCTTGCATTTCAGTGAACTTTGAGAGATGTACCGTTTCTACTCATATTGGCAGCTTGAGCTCTTTGATATTTGTTTCTTTTTTATTTGGTGAGTTTTGCCTGGTCTTTGTGTTTTACAAAATCTTTTATACGTGGTTAATGTTAGAGATTTTGATTTGAAATGTTTTGTTAGACAAGTTTGGGAAATAAATTAGGCTTATGATATATCCTCGACCAGAAATAGTATTGAACACATTATTTATATGGGTTACATATATTTGGGATACTTGGTTTCTAAAATATGTACTCTTTTGCAAAACTATACTTATTCAGTAATACGCCCTCTACACTCTACAGTCTATTGTTATCCGCAAGAAGTTTCTTCATATGTACTAATGGTTTAATGGACATACTGTCCTCTTACAAAAACACTAGTCGGTGAATTCATACTCAAATAAAACCCAGTCCGTAGATGCAAGCCATCAATGAAGAGAAAATGAGCATGAACCACTACCACAGTACCACTATACTATGGTTGGATATAACTATGTTAAATTCCTCAATCAAGTAGCCAATATTAAAACTTTCTGATTCACATTAAGGATAATATTGATTGAATCTTTCTAATCCATTAATATGAGGAGTTATGATTACAATGTGATTGTATATCCATGAAGGAGTGTAACTTACTGTAAAATAAGAATTAGCAAAGATAATACAGTAAGTAGCTAAAAGAGTTATGTGTGCATGTAATCTGGGGCTGAACGAATCGTGGTCATCTTTTAATCTTTTTGACAACAAGCACTTTTTATAGGGAACTTGTAAGGGGAACAGAGATGGTCCATGTAATTGGTGGTCAATGAACTACTTTATCAGAATGTCTAAAGTCTAAACCTAAGAGCAATTATAACTTGTAAATTACACTCAAGATCTTATGATATGGGATGTCAAATTCGTAGTTGGGTTATTTTGCTTCTCTTACATTTGGTGCAGAATTCATCATACTTCACTTGAGTGTGTAATTTATGGAAAACCTGAGCCTATTGCTTTTAAGAATGCAGAAGCCACTTTAAGACAAATTCATTGCGATATGAATCATGAGTCTCTAGACGGTCACTTGAACAGAAATCAATCGAAGAATTACTTCAGTGCTCTTTACATGGTAGGTGATAATCCATCAGTCGACATAAAAGGTGCAAGAGAGGTTAGTTTCTCTACATTGTCGTTTGACCAGTAACCTATGACTATGTTACTTGGACTGTTCATTTCCCCTTGAGTTCTTGTGTCAGATGACTCATATCCTCGACACTCTGATATGTGTTGGACACTCAAGACACTTCAATATGGAACAAAACCATAGAAGTCTTTCACATCATAGCCGAGTTCACTCTGACACATACTCATGTAGGACACTAATACCTGAGTCTGAGTAACATAGCTAGTGACCTTCCATTTCCTTTAATCCTGCATTTTGCTGAATTACTTTATCTTGCCAACTTTCAGGCAGGAGATCCTTGGATATCTGTTTTGACCCGAACAGGTATGTTCCAAGGTAAAGGAAATCACCAAGAGTTTCTCACAGTTCTGGTAAGTTAAATGAGTCACATAATGTAGATATGTGTAGTATGAGGGATTATTGGTGTAATAGAAATCAAGTTTGTCATTTTGAATTGGTTGATTTTTTTCAGGTTGTGGATACAGTGGAAGATGCTGTTGATTTCATTTTAGAGAAAGAGTTCTCTTCAGGCCGTTCAGGGTGTTCATCTGTTTAATGTTAGCGTTACAATGCTTTTAAGAAGCATGTACGAGCAACCGACTCGGAGCACATTACCATCTTTTTGATTCATATAGCAGTTATACCCAATTTTAGAATTGTATCATCATCTGTAGTTACCCTACAGCAAGGATGTGAAATCCTCCTCATCAAATCTGTAGGCTTATACAATAATACAATATGAAGTACAATATAGGATTCTTTTGTCTTTAATCAGCAATGTAAACTGCAAAAGTCATTTTCATAACTCACAAAATTAGGAATTTCTAGGGTGTTATATGTAAAGAAACTTAGGAATGATTAAAAATGAAAAGTGTAAAGAACTTTAAAAAATGGAGGTAGTATAAACATATATGAGTACAAGTTAATATGAATTAGACATAATTGAATGATGTTTTTTCTTATGCATCATTACCAAAATATGACCAAAATTTAGTCAAACTAGCACATTAAATTAAACGGTACCAAATTTAAAATATTCCGTCAAATCAACTAAGACTTTAATACCGAGTAAGGTCATAACATACATCTCATGTCAAGAGAACAAATGAGCCTTGGGCCTTTTAACTAAAATTAGAACAAACACGTGTCATTTCAAGAGAGCACATGAGATCCGACTGTTTTGAGTAAGATAAGAACAATAATGTGTCATTTCAAGAGAGCAAATGAGACCTGAGTGTTTTAAGATAAGAACAAACACGTGTCATTTCAAGATCTGATGTTTTTGAGTAAAGTCAAATCATACACGTTTCATTTCAAGAGAATAAGTAGTGAAACTTAACTCTTTTGAGTAAGATCAGAATTAACACATGTCATTTCAGGATAGCAAATGAGATGTAACTGTTATGAGTAAGATAACACCATTCACGTTTCATTTCAGTGAACAAATGAGATTCGGCTCTTTTGAATAAGATCAGAACAAACACGTGTCATTTCAAGAGAGCAATTAGACTAGTTTCTTTTAGACTTGCTCATCAACATTTCTATTTATTTCACTTCAACTTCATTTAGTCCAATCTAATTTAATTTAATACAACTCTATTATTTTCATTACCAAGTACGAAACATTATTTTATTAGCGTCCAATTACGACAGGTTGATTTAGATTAGTTCAATTCAAAAGAACAAACGGGTAATAAAATCAATTTCTCTCTAAGAGAGGGGTGAAATGCTACACCTCCTTGCTTAAACCCCACAAAAATGTCTAATTGTCCAATGCACAAGTCATAAGACTCATAGCTCGTAATCCCCCCCCCCCCACCCCTTACACACAAAAAAAAAAAAAAAATGAAAAAAAAAAACAGGTCTTGTTCTATATATATATATATATTCAATGCAATTCCACTTGTCTCAAATTACTACATTTCAGCTCAAATTTACTCCCTCTATCTTCAAATAAAAGTTCCTTTATTTTTTGCACGCATCAAAGTAAATTAAAAAACAATAGAGCTTGTTAAATTAAGAATGAACTTTAATTTAAGTGAGGTTTAATTGATTAAAAGTGAATAATAAAATAGGAAAAATAGTCATGAATAAAATGATTTTGCTTGGTCTTCTAATAATAAAAGAATCTTTCGATTATTTCAAAACAAAACCATATTTGGGGCATCTGCTTAAAATAAATAAATAAATAAAACCGATAACTTGGGTTAAATGTGACACGTGTTGCAATTTAATTGGTTAGGATTATTTATTTTAATTTTTAAAATTTTCTTTTTTTATAAAATAATTGAGTTTAATATATTTTTAAGTTTGAAAGGAATGGTGTCCTTCCAACAAGTGTATTCTTCCGATAGAGGGTTCATAATTATTACAGAGTTAATTCTTCAGTAATATCAAGTGATCGGAATGCCTAGGTGTAGGCCGCTTCCGATCAGTAATATCGAGGTACAATTGATATTACAGCTTAATCTTAACTGAACCCTTCGGGTCGAACCCAATCGAATCACCGATCCGAGACAACGAATTAATCCGAAAGGATTTAATGAGTCGACAGAGTTTTACGAATACAGACGTCGGATATCGAGCCTAGGGCGTCGAGACCGAGCGTCGCAAAATCATAAAGCGACAAGTATGAACATAGCCCTAGCACCACACTGGCCTAGCCATGTGGATGCTAGGCTAGTTCGAGCTAGCATGCACCTAGCATGGCTAGGCGCAAGCCTAAGCACACTAGGTGTGCCAGGCGCACCATCGCAGCCCTAGCATCATGCCTAGGCGCTATCGCAGCACTAGCATGATGCCTAGGCACTATCGCTGACCATCGCAAACACTAGGCGCACCATAGCAGCCCATCGCACTATCGCAGCACAAGCACAGCACCATCGCATGGCTAGGCTAGTGCGTGTGTGCGTGTGCTTGTGCCTTAGCCTGTCGCATCATCACAACAAGCATGTCTGCGCACATGCGTGCCTTCGCATGGCACTGCATCACAGCATGCGTGCCTGGGTGCTAGGCACCATCGCAGACCCTTCGCACAAGCACAACACCATGGCAGGCCTTGTGTGCGTGTGCGTGTGCGTGGAAGGCATCGCAGCAGCATGCGAGTGTATGCGAGGCTGGTGCGTGGTGCAAGGCTGGTGCGTGGTGCGAGGGTGGTGCGTGTGGCTGGCGAGGCAAGGGGCCAGCATGCGTGGCTCGCTAGCAGCACGCATGCTGGCTATGCGAGCATGTGCGAGATATGCTAGCAACAGCGCTACGCAACAACTAGCCTGGCTGTGCGTGTGCATGTGCGTGTGTGTGCGATAGCCAGGCAGCAGCGCCCAACGCCCAACACAAGGCGTGGCTCGCTAGCAGCACGCAAGTGCTGGGCTGGGTGATGCGTGCCAGCTTGGCAGACTAGGCTGGCTGGCCAGCAAGGCAAGCTGCCAGCACAACATGCTTGAGGCGGTTTGAGGGAGTGAGGACCAAAGGGCTTGGAGCATGCCTTGGGGAGCAAGGAAATGGTCCCCCCCCAAGGTTCATGGTCCTCACCTAACCCTCTCTCTCCCTTTGACACTTGTTGCATTGTGATTGAATTAATTATTAATTTATTTTAGAAATAAATTAATTATCAAAATTATTCATTCTCCCACATTGGTTGGGAAATGAAGTTCAAGGGTGCATTTCCCTATAAATACCAAAGGCATGGTATTGGGAAATACACAACCTTTAGTGGAATTAAAAAGGCAACTCTTGTAATTAGAGTAAACCTTTGATTCGTAAAACTCATAGTTTTGTTTGTCCGGGTCTTGACTAACCTTCAAGACTTGGGACGCTCGGGTCAGGTCGAGGGTACGATCCGTCGGAGATCTCGTATTTTCGGGATTTTGAAGTAAGAGCTCTTCGGGAGCGAAGCACGCAACAAAGGTATAATTCTTGTTCTTAGTCTTGCTTGATTAAGTTTATTATGCTTGTTAATTGCTTTAATTAAGGGGCGGGTCTTGGGGGGTTTCCTTCCGCGTAGTGTCGGGTCACTACGAAACCCTACAGCGGTATCGGAGCCATGCTCCTTTTAATTTTTGCAATTACTTATTAATTAAGGTGTTTTAAAAGAATTTATTTTTCTGGTTCATGTTCTTCTAATTAGATTAGATGCTTGTTTTAATTAATTTTAAAACTCGGTTTTATTCTCGATTTGGCTGTCGAACCCAGATTTTGGTTCAAAAATAGTGATTTTTGGGTAGTTACAACATTTTGGAACAGATTCAACTCTCTTTGAGAACTGTCCAGAAGCCAAATTCGAACCAAAAACCCATTTTTTCTGGGGTTTTTCGTTTTTCAACGGAAAATTTAATTCTTTTTAAGCCTTGATTAATGCAAGCATTACAAGGTTAGATTAAATGCACATTTGCATCACTAATCTACTGGTTTTAAAAATATCCTTAAGCATATTAATGGAGTTTTTATTAGTGCTTAAGTTGATATACCATTTTTCTCATAAACTTGTTTTTCACAAATTTTGCAAATAAATTGCAATAAAATGTGAAAGCTTGTTGTGAACTTGTAATTTTAAGTTCCTATAATGTTAAAGTTCTAATCTTTAAAGGTTTAAATGATTGGAACCCTAACCCTAAATTCCATATTGAACAAAGTTTGGATTTTTCATGTTTGGTTGATTAAAATCCATCAATTTCAAATACTTGTGAGTAAAATTTGATTATCTTCATATTGGAAGATGTTTCGGGGTTTTTTGATGTGTCCTGCGGGAGAGTTGATTAAAATCCATCAATTTCAAATGCCTGTACCTGCAAAACCACGAAGACTCCGGTTGGGTGGAGCTCCGCCTCCGACGATCAAGTCAGTGATGTACGGGAGGAAGAAAGTGCGTAAAAAGGGTAATTACTTCTCGCGTGATGGGAGAATTCCGCAATTACGATTGCTCGGTTTTTGTGTAAAATGTATTTATGATGGTATTCAATGCCAATTGAATGTAAGTGAATTCTTTTGGAAGGAATTGAATATCCCCCATTAATGAGGATTCTCCCACTATTTATAGTGGGGAGCATTGGTTCCCCATTTAGGGTTCCTAGGACACGTGTCAGCAGGGGATTAGAGCCCTGCTGACCAATGGCGAGATGCCACGTGTTGCGCTGCCATTGGGCCACGTGGCTGGGGTAAAATTACCCCAAACATTTTCCCCTCTCAGGTGCTTACGTGGCAGGGTGCCACGTGGCACCTGAGAAGAGAGCTGACGGAGCAATTTTTTTTATTTTTTTTATTTTTTTGACCCTTCAAATTCTAACTGAAGGGGGAAGAGTAGAAGGGGAAGGGTCGCGCCCCTTCGCCTCCCGGGAAAAAACCCTATAAATAGGGGAGGAAGCACACGAAGCCTCATTTACAAACTTCGTGAAATTTCTTGAATTTTGAGAGCATCCGGCATTTGAGAGCATCCGGTACTTGAAATTCAGAGCACACGGAGATTTGATAGTTTTACGAGCAACCGGTATTAGACCGCTTGTGCAGTAGCAAGCAAGCAAAAGATTTTTAAGAGGGTAATTCAGATAACCCAGCCGGTATTCAAACCGCCTGTGTCTTCGCAAGCATCCCCAAGAAATTTCTTTTCAACACTCTACTCTAGGTACCGTCTCTATTCTTTCTTGCTTTTCCATGTATTTCCGCTTGAGTCTTTTGCTTGCATTTTTGTTTACAAGTCCCCTAGGAAGATGGACCCTTTATACCCGTACCCGGACCATAGTTGTGAACTCAGTCGGTCAGTTAGTACGACTGAGTCT